TTTTACCCCCCCCCCCCACTACACATCAAAGATTACAATACGCTATGATTGTTGCATAAGCAATTTGCATTGCACATAGGAATCTCTGGAAGTATTAAAATTCTTCATATAAATATGAAGCAGGATTTTACAAGAAAATGTCGACAGTTTAATTAATAAAATGTCACGTCACATATCTCTTTAACGTTTCTCATTACAGAGCTGGTGATTGTTAAGAAATTACATTGACTTCAGAGTGGATGTGGACTATGTGCATTGTTTTGAAAAATGGAAAGATTAAAGTATGATAAGTAAGATTCTTCACTCCGCATTCATTTAATTCTCTTCAAAACACTTGTTGTTTGTGTGTCACAAGAAAGTGCACATATGTTTATTGACTATTATCTGATCACTGTCTTGAAACAAAGAAGATTTGAGGTTCTCAAGACTTGGTGATGAAAATACTGATTGTTGTCTTCTGCGTTGTGATGCCATGTATTTTGAAAGTGGTTTTGAACATGTTTGAGGACTGTACAGCCTCCATCTTCAGGATAGTAGTTGTGTCACATCAGAAAAAGCAGTCCACACATCTATCACCTACATATCATGAGATTCTGCCATTTTAGATTAAATTTCTAAGTACAGGAACTTGAGACGAAGATAGACCCAAGTTTAAATTTCTAAGTACAGGAACTTGAGATGAAGATAGGCCCAAGCATTTTGATGCAGGCTGATTATCACATTTAGAAACTAGTGCTAATGCAAAATTCTTTATCAAAATGATCTTGTAGATATGTGAGACTCAGATTTTCAAATCTGAAAATATGTTGTAGGCTTGTTCGTAATCATTTGTGAAATGTCGTGTTGTTGTCCTATCGATAAGCAAACTGCATGAAATCTATTATATTGGATTATATTTTGTGAATAGAGAAAGTTTGTGCACAGTAATTTCTCTACATAATCATGATAATATTCATTTATAGCATCTCATCCTTTGCATGGCAACATAGTTGCGGTATGTGTCTTACGTAAAATCAACTTCGAATATTACATATTTTAATATTTCTTAAGTAATTCTCTTTCCTTTTTATGTAATGAACATACTCTGTGCCTCTTAACATCTTTGATAAACAAATTTCTCAGGTGGTAAAATTACGCAAAATATCCACATAAGACTTCACATACAAATATCTAAAGTTAATCAACAATACAAAGATGACTGATTAACAAATGACATCACACTTTCTCCAAGTTTCCTGTCTCATTTCATTGGCTGTTGCCTGACAGTATCATAGTGATGTTGGACCCCATCTTCTCCGTCTCGCGCATGTCAAATGCCGAGATGATGATGTTGACTATTGTGGTTATGATTCCCATAGCGAAGACTACGTTATTCCATAAGTTGGCTCCTCCCTGATCTTTCGTCTTGTTGATGTTGAACACTGAGCCTAGCATCACGTAAAGGACTCCCTGACAAGCCTGAGGCCCGGAACAAAACAGAAAATAAAATAAAAACAGGAAGGAAACACTAAGCAAAGTCAAGTCTGATTACATTTCTTAATATATAACAAAATGATACTTGTTACATCTGAAAAAATGTTGATTTAAAGTTACGCAAGTGAATCCATATTATGTTCAACCTGGACGTTTAAACACTTTAAATGCAGATTTAATTAATGGCTCTTATATTATTGCTACTGTACTTACAAATTAATTGTATCAGAATGTGCAAATGAATTTCTAATCAGATCAATAGAAAGTGATATTTACGAGCATTGATTAATGTGCAGTAGATTAGCGACTTAAAATGGCAGGCCTAAGTATAATAGATAAAGATCTCTTGGTCATGTCCTCATATTTTAACAGGTGTGATACGTAAATATGGTTAACTGAAGTCTACTTATTACAAGCAGTTTTAAGAAGTCACAGGGGTTTCCCTATTATAGGAAAGAACATGTGATTTGGAGACAGACTTTGATCTCCAGGATCTAACCACATGAACGCCATATTTGAAGACTGCAAAATGAACACACGTTCATTTAGTTTATAATAAATACGGAATGTTTGGGCCTGTCAGGAAGACTCTTTTGCATGGTTTTACGACAGACAGACTATTTAAGTCGTCTGATCAGGTAAGCGAATGAACTGAACTGTTTGACAGAAATGAAATATTAATGTTTCCTTCAAGAATTTAAATAAAACTCAATTTAATATGTGATATTGTTCCATCAGATGCAAGCCTAACCAACTGTTTTATGAATCTGAACAGACACGTACTATCAATTTGTTTGGCATTACACGGTGTGTACAACGTGAGCTATGCACTGGAAATAATGGTGCCGTAAGAGTGCGCTACATGACACAAAGAATCAACCAGTAGTCCAGCAAAATGAAACGTCGACACCTTCGAATTACAGGGAACGAAAATTCTGATTGTGGCTGCTATAAATGTAATCAAATCCGAAATTCTTATCAAAGACACGAACACATCATAAGTAAAATTAAAGCAATAAAACCAAGCTGAAATTAAAGAAAGAAAAACAATGAAAACTATATTAAGATAGACAAACTAAATAATTAAAAATAAACTCGACAAAGAAGCAGGCTGGCCTCGTGTAGTGGCTTGAAAGGGCTCTGACCCAAAATTTTATCAGTTGTATTTAACTGTGGTACAAGAATATCTGACGTAATCCTAAATATAAGGAAATTCCGTAATGGCTGGAGCCTTCAAGCACTGTTCTAAGGTTGAGAAGAATGTCCCTTTTTTCCCGACCAAGTTGTCCCTGAAATAACCCCTTTTCCTACTCTCGGTCCTTTTCGTCACTGAAAGGTCTTCAATAACGAAGTTCGCCTTGCTCACCTGTAACCTGCTTAATCCGATCTCTGAATAACCCTAACCTTGTAATTGCCTGGTAAAAAGAGATTTGGATAGTCTACGTTAATGTAAATCTGTATCACTCATGTTCATCGCCGCTGATATTCACCTCGAAGATCAGGTCTTTCCTGAACGTATTCCTGACTAGCTTGGTCTCTGAAAAAACCTTCGCATGTTCTAAGAATGATTTTCAATAGCAGTGCCTCGTATAAATCTCATCTCTCATTTGTACCCATAAACTCAGCCTCTGTAAGAGATGATTCCAGATTTATTGAACTGTATTCCAGATATTGAATTTATTAAATAACACCAATTCTGACGCAAGCAATAAGAATAAAATGCAAATTGTCGTAAAGCACACGAAAATTACAAAAGGTTCTAAAGTATATTCACTACAAATTTATTTGGATCTGGCTGTCTTTAAAAAGAGGTTATTAACTTTTTGGTTTTCTGAGTAGTGGAGTAATTTTGTAGGTAAATACCAGCCTTTCGGAAGAACGCATTGTCTCCATCTTGGAGTTCGTAAAAAAACTTTGGTAAACACAAGAAGACTACACAGCGCTACAGTCTAACAGGCCGCAATCAATATTTCCACCGCTGTGAAAAACATTAGATCTTAAGTTATTAATGTTTGCGTTAACCTTGCAACATGGTCCTACCTTCTGCTCAGTTTTTCTAAGATGCTCAAAATATATAATAATTTAGTTATAAGGGAGGACTCCACGTATGTCGGAATAGACAGTCTCTGCCATCGGGACAAACATGGGCTTACAAAATTAAGAGCGAGATTCGAACCCGAGGTTGCAAAGACAGATATGAAACTGCACGCCCACTGCAATCGGTTACGTTTTCATGTTTAGAAACAAAATTCGATCTCTGATGAATTTGATTATGATTATAATGACGGCGGATAATGTGCGCTGTAAAGAAATGAGGTTATGTCAATATGTTTAGAAAAGTTTCTTTGTAGTTAAGAAATGGTCGCTTCTCTTCATATTTGAGGATGATTACGAATTGTTTATGAATACACCGCCAGTTTTAAGTGAGGTACTTCTGAGGAAACTCTGCTATTTCATTGATTTTCGTCAGCACTTCTCTTCTGTACAGGTCCAGGATCGAGACCAAAGCTCATCTTGATGACGTCAGCTACCATGGCGACCAAGACGAATCCAACAACTACGTGGTTCAAGACGGATGCCACGTGTTGTCTCTCTGGTTTGTTGATGTTGAGTGTCATCAGAACAAGAGCCAATGTGCAGGATACAACCTGTCCCCAAGCAAGATTACACCTTATGGCAACAAAGTCGAAAATTGCTTGAAACAAAACGTGAATATAATACAGTCCGGCTTCATAAACGTTAACTTCTCATTTCATGCAATCTCGTAAAAGTCTTGAGGTCTTCACTGAATTATGTTATATAACACATGCATACGATTTTCTCAGGCTTTCATATCATCTCGTAGGTTTTGAAAAACGATGACGTGTCGAATAAAATCCATTCATAAGTAAAGTAAATACGTAACCTCAATCCATTAATGTGATTTTAAAACGATTGGCTAACGATTCCACTTTTACAATTTCACGATGAGAATCCTGTATCATCGGCACCGAGGAATGATTTTGATGTCTGATGCTTGCATGGGATCAGGTATAATTTTGTGGACACCTTTTCCACTTCAATGCCAATATATAAACTCCATTATAGCAAAATTACTCTAATTGATGAGAGGATGGGATCAGGTATAATTTTGTGGACACGTTTTCCACTTCAATGCCAATATATGAACTCCATTATAGCAAGATTACTCTAATTGATGAGAGATAATACCACACACCAACAAATGGCACTGGTTAGCTGCGAGCAAGTAGTTCCTACTTTAACCGAGAGATAGCATTAAGATGCTAAAAATTTTCAAGGGGTGCAGCAATAGCGGAAAGGGTGTTGCTAGCAAAATTTCTGATCATTTTGGTGGGGACATAACTTCTCGTAACCGGATGTGTGAGTGTTCCATTCCAAACCCGGATACGCCCACATTAATGAGTGAGATGAAGAAGATCATGATGAGCGTGACGTCATTCAAAATGATGGCTGTGCGCTGGTCTCCGTGCCTGTTTATATCCAATCCACCGATAACCAGCAATATCACCCCAACACAAACCTGCATAGAATAACACAGTCATTGCCATATAATATCGCCAGGTGTTTACATTTTCTATGTTCCAATCATGAAACAGGATAAAAACGTTCTTTTACAAATGGCAATATCGAAGCGTTTCCAATAAAAAGAAACAGATGTTACCAACATACAGAAATACAACAGAAACAGTTATGAACAGTAGCTAACGTTGATAAATTAAATTTCTGTTCTGAAAATCTGTTTCATGATAATACCTCAAAATGCAGGTCAGAGATTTCGCATTTTATATTGAAGATCTTCATTAACCCTGATAAATTGCATTACTAAGTGCAAGCGTACTTGGTGTATCATCCCTGCTACTTCTGGACGAAATATTCTACCTGCAACAATCAACATTAGGATTTAAATTTCTAGCATAGTTAATTGTTGATTAACTGAACCCGCGAACATTTGGGAACCCACTACGAAACCGAGATTTCTATAGAACCCAATTTGGGAACCACTGAAATAAGGACGCGAGTCTTTTGTTGGAACGCGTTTTCACCAGTGTCTGAGACATCGGTTCGCCATGAAACTGCCTGCAGGTGGCAAAGGTAGAGCCGTCTAACTGTGGCAGCGCGAAGTACATTATGCCGACTCGAACAGAGTACCCGGCTCCAGCATTCGCCCTAGTCCGGGATCGAAGGCGCTGATAAGCAAGTTGAGAGCCGACACGGCCACAGAGGAGCCCAACGTGAAGTAGTTGATGACGAGAGCGGACATGTTGTACTCGTGGAGATGCAGTCTGCAATCGCGCATCAAGTTGAGAGACAGGAACATGACGCCCATCAGCACCTGTTTGGCCGCACGAAACACGTCAGAGGGCCAGGAATTCGATACAACAAACATAAATTTACAACCTCTACATGTAAACAGACGGGACACGCAATTCGGGAGAAGGCTGAATAAGCGGGAAAATGTTTACCAACTGCAAATTGAGAAAGCCGCGTGATGTTTGCTGCAAAGAAGCAAAATGTTATTTGTTCGGGTTACCACGAACATTAAGAAAATATTTTTTCACATCGGAGCGCTGAAGTATCGTAATTAAGGCGTAAAGATAATTACGTAATAACCAACTCCCATATTCAGAAGGTCTCCTACTTCGTTCCCTTTGTTTATTCAAAGAGGCTTTCTCAACTGAATAAGGTATTTGTTACAGAATGTAAGGACGGCTGCATATGATAGATAGGAAACCACGTCGAAGGAAGTGGTCGTGACTTATTATAAGCATTTGCCTAAAATAATACGGTAGACCTATCCTAAAATCGAACAACGCGGTATTCGGCACATCACCTAATTTTGTCAGCTGCGTACAATGAGTAAAAAGGCATACAACATTTTTGTGAGGAAACACTTGGAAAGTGGTCATTTGGCGAAGCAAGACGGCAATGAGAAAGTATTATGAAAGTTCTTGTTATAAATATATTGTGAAAATGGGAAAGAATGCTGTTCTCTGACGACAATGAACCTCTGGTTACTACCACCGTATCAAATCACTGTTCGTGCAGAGTCGATATGATAAAATATAGATCGGGAGGGATTCTTAAGGTGGCGACTGACTTGTAACATTTGCCTGTAATGTAACGTGTTACAAATCGAGCATTACACAAGTGAAGACAGCGAAAGGAGCCGCTCGATGCGAGCCGCTCACGCTCGCGGGCGCTCCATCGTGTTGTCGGTTTTTTCGCGAATCTTAGGATCCGGGGGGCTGCGAGATTCGAACCGGGCACCTCTTCAAGGACAAACACGACTGTTAACCAACTGCACAGACATGTTCGGTGATGATACAGGATTGGTGTAGGCCCCCACAAAGAACAACAGCGTGATCAATGGAAGAAGGACGCAAGACAACATGAACAGACGAGACATTCGAATGTCAGAGACAAGAGCTGATTCTACAGGAGCCATCTTTCAAGCGGACGTGGGACTTCCACTGTTGTGTCTGTGTGTTTGCGGTTTGTGCCACATGTGTCGCTGTGTGTCAGGCAGGGATGAAAATAAGAACGACTACATTTTTATTTTCAGTATCTTAAGTATCCATGACTGTTAAATAAAATAATCTCTTCTCGGGCGACTAACAGGGTGCTGAGGAGAATATCTGTATCTAGGAGAGATGAATTACTAGGAGGCTGCATAAGTTGTGCTTATCACCGAATGTAATTAGACTGGTCAAGGCAAAGAGGATGAGATGGGCAGGGCATGTAGCCCGCATGGGAGAGAAGAGAAATGCATACATGGTTTTGATGGACGGACCAGAAGGAAAGATACCACTGGCAAGATCTAGATGTAGATAGGAGGGTAGTAGGTATTGGAGATATAAAGGTACATACACGTAACATTTTCGTAGAATACGTGAAGGGAAGAGCCAATTTGAGGACTGGATTCGTCTTAATCGGGACAGGATCTTATGAACACGGTGATGAATTTTCAGTTTTCATAAAAATTGGATAATATTTTGACCAGATGAGTGACTATTATGTTCTGAAGGAGGACCCCATTTCATGCGGTTAGTGGTAGTTGCACGACGAAATGAACTTGTGCGGGGCTGGTTGTGTCCGTCCACATCCATCAATTCGAGAACTACTTCTCGGATTTGTCACATTTCGATTATATACTGTGTGGGCCGCATGTCATTGGAAACTACCAAAACTCGTAAGTTTAATTGTGTACAATCTACATTAACGACATGGCGGGCGCACCAACTTATAAAGTGCGAGCGAAACTATGAAATAGTCATAAGTCTTTGCCTCATATAAAACAACATGACGGCTTCATGACGCGATAAAAAATGTTACAAATCGAGTACAATTCCATAATTTCACAGCCTACGCATAAGTCCACTGAGTTTATGCATTGTATTGTAAGTTTACAGATTTATATTACCGAAAGAATGTGTTAAAACACGTAATTTATGACGATAAAAATAAATGTTGTTTAAGAAACGGAAAAAGACGTTTTAGTTGTGAATTAAAAGCGCCTAACATTTAGACTTACATGGAAAAGAACTAAGGCATTGCGTACGATCTTAAGAGTGATAATATAATGTGTCTTAGTAATGTTGAACATTCATTCTTAAAAATACGTTATTTTTACTGAAGTACAGTACATGGGGCACAGCCCGCGTCTTTCACACATTTAGCTCTCAATTAACTACGTCTGCTGTGGTCCTTCAGTCAACTACAAAGTTATTTTAAAATGTTTACAACCGCATAAAACAAAAATGTAAGCGGAACGAGATTATCGATCCTAAAACACAAGGGTAACGATTAGCCTCAAGAACACGGACTAGAATCGCCTGGGGCACTAGTAACACTCTTCCTCCGAGTTCCCGAAGTGGGTCACGCGGTTGTCATAGCAACAACAAAACAATTTGTATCGATTGTGTCTACTCGTGCCCGTATGGCTGTTCTGAATGTCGAACAAAACTGCTTTTTGACACTGAAACAGCGCTACGACCCGTCAAAGTTCACGGTAACAAAACTTGTTCGTGTTACAGAATTACCTTTACAAATCTGGCTGAGAGTAAAACATTTATGAACTGTATTTTGTAAGAAAACGAAATGTGGAAACATCCTTACGGCGACTGAAGCCAGACTCCACCGGTCATCACCGTAGGCACCACAATAGCAGTGTTTGCCTATCTTGCTACCAGAGACGCCACAGTCAGAACTTAGTTTCAATTCCTTCCGCATAGCTCGTTCACTCAAGCCTGCATTAGGTTCAACACACGAACTGCAGATGGGGAGGATTTATTACGGGTTGGTCGCGTCTGTCCAGTTAATCGCTAGACGGACAGACACTCAGCGACATTCATAAAGGTCCTTTTCTGTTAGTCCAAGCTATTTAATGAAGCGAAACCCTGGGAATATTTTAGTAATGTCTTATTTTATAATAGCGTCTCTGTGCATAAGCAACACGACAGGGAGACGAATGAGGGAGAATTGCTACAACTTCAGTTTTTCCTGCCTTCGGCGAGGAAATTGGCCAGATTCACGCCCTGGCTGACTTTGACCTCGAGTAAACAGTCCCATTACACATTACACTAAGCGAGACAAGAGCTGTTCTGGATGCCGTGATAAAGTGAATGTTTCGGATCGTGCGTCCGGATTTTAACCACGGTCGTCCATCGCATTAGCTGCAATACACGATTGTGCTGCTTGGTCGCTGGGACCGTGGGTTCGAATCCCACTCAAGCCATGGATGTTTGTCCGCGTTGTCCTGTGTACAGGTAGAGGCCTTGCGACGGGCCGATCCCTCGTCCAAGGAGTCCTACAAAAATGTCTATAGATCGAGCCAACGTAAAAGTTGGATACCGGAAAAATGTATAAAACATTGTTAAACCGGAAATATATATAGTACATTATAAGACAAAAAATTCTTGGATAAGTATTAATATTATGACATCATAAGAATAATTATAATAAACAAATTGTTGATATCGATTAGGCCTTTAATAATTTCAATAATTTGGAAATTATAATTTAATATGTCTTCATGTTAGTTATTATTGCCCCACAGATGTTAAAAAAAAGCACCGATAGTAAATACAATTAAAACGATTCAACAGTTCTCTGGTTGTCATATGCGGACAGACAGACATGGCGAAGCTGTTGTATCTTCTCGATTTATGAACCTGCTTATGACGTAGCAAGCTTCAGATCTGGCACAAAAATGTAACACTGTTGTAAACTTTTCGTATGAAGTCCGATCGTGGAAGCGTGATGCCTCAATCATGTAGCACAGCGCATAACAGTTGACTAGAGACAGGAAAAACCATCAGGTGACTCAATAGCAAAACAAAGAAGCTAGCAATGCGCCTTGAATTTCTGCAACTGCGTATGCAGGTACAAAGACCATCTGAAGTTTCAACGCCGATCTTGTTCTATGTTACTTACAGCGCATATCAAATCAAAAGTCACAGCAACGCAGGATCATCGCGGCAAAGAATTTCAGAGAGCGTTCAAGGTTTAAGCGATGCGTTGCAGGAACAGAATGATCATGTAAGCAATGTAACTTCTCATGAACAGAGAAACCTAAGCCTACGTGTCACATACCTGCAGAACAATGGATACGGATATAAGCCACAGCATGAGGGTGTAGAACTCGTGCTGATGACCGATCTGCAAAACGTACTTCAGCTGACTCGCGTTGGCTGTAAGGAGGGCTATGTCCAACATCCCCTGCGCTATCGTCTTCTTTGTGGCATAGCTGTTCGCGTCCAGAGGCTTCTGTAATGTAAAAGTGTAAATATCTCAATCCCTGTGATCAAGATCTGCAATTACGTATCTTGATTTATGATTTATGCATCACTTAACGACAGTATAGCACCGTGCATGGGATATTTACCTTGGAATAATATCTGTAAGACTACGTATGACCCATAATGAGAAATGTCAATCGATATTACAACCCGAAGCTAACTCAAAAGCAAAAGTACGAAATTGAAGATTATCATGAACGAGCATCAAAGCCAAATGTTTGCATAGCGATGAGTTTATTTATATATTATTCTTTCATCACAGTAGGCTTACAGATGTTCAAATCAGATGTTATGAAAAAGTGAGCCACCATATTTCTCTGCGTATTGTTTTATCTATCAGTGCAGATGTGAATTCCATTGTGGCATTAATTTAACGACCATAAAAATTTAATGTTTTGGCTCTTATTTCATAATTCGATTTATTACTTCAATGTGATAACCTTTGTAAAGGAAAATACGTTTCATTTCCGTTTGCCCTTCAGAGTAACAAATCGACCTAGGGCGTACACAAAAATACTTTAGTTATAAACATTTGAATAAAGATTTTCTTGGATATTATCCATCGTCTAGTAAAAGAAATATAAAACGTAAAACGACGGTTCGGAGATGGGGCTCTATCTCCGTCTTCAGGTTCTTTGTTTTTATTTGGCATTTTCATGTTTAACGAATTATATTTCTACTATTTCTAATTTATTATTTTATGTCCCACGGATGGATGGTGTGGTGATGTTCTTGTATTCTGGGACTTTCACTTTTTTACTTTGTCCGGAGATAGGGATTAGCTCTATCCAGTGGGCCCAACTGAAGACGGAGATAGAGCCCCATCTCCGAAACGTCGTTTTACGTTTTATATTTTACTTACTAGACGATGGATAATATCCAAGAAATTTTTTATTCAAATGACTCATCACCATCGTCAAGAACTTTTAGATTAGTTATAAACAATTCGGTATAGTGTAACCTACACCCATGACCTACCCGGCTGATTTAGAATTAGCCTAAAATATCATTTTAAATTAAGTGATTAATCATTTCGTTCCTTTAGTAACATAAGCATACTATTTTTATTTTATTTGTAGTGTTCTGTCTGCCGACAGGTCCATATGAACAGGATCCTTCCATCCTTTTCTCGGACTGGGACCTGTTCATATACGTTCTTGGCAGATGATCCAGAAGTGGTTTGCCATTGCCTTCTTCTGTGTGTGAATGGAGTAATTGTTGGGATGCCACGGAGGAAAACTCCGTGTTGCCTAGACCACGGCCTTGCCCAACACAAGTTATAAATTCGGGCACCGCCGGGAATCGAACCCGAGACCCCAGGATTACAAGACCAGCGTTCTGATTTATTCGTTAAATTTTGGTTTAATTCTGCATTACTTTTTCCATGATGGTGGTCTACCTGTGAGTTGTCGCACTATAGGGGTCAGAGAAAAACAAAAGTCCACTCCCAGATAATGAAGTTCATTGGCTTCCATTGTCATAAAGGTCAGTAGCTTCTTTTGTAGCAAAAAAGGGCTACTTGACAGTTGTCTGGTATTGTAACCCACTGTTAACTTCCTTTCGTCATAAATAATTTTTAAGATTTATTGCACGTTATATGTCGCGAAGAAAATTCTACATTTTCGAAAATATAAATTACTTATGTCAGGAAAATTTAATGTTCTAAAGCTTTCGGGGTCGATCTTCATGATTGTATTGAAGGTCTAGACCAATGGAACTCTTCGTAACATGTAACAGTTGAGATTTTCACGGCGGTGTGGCCGAAGATGAGTCATTGCTCTGATGATGGAGGCAGCAAGGACCTCTGAAACGTCGGTAAACTTCTACCTCTTCAATTACTACTTTTTCAGCCAATCAGGAGCAGAGGACACTTCTGGTCGTTCCCTTGTTCTCACAGTTGGAAAATCCCTTGATTGGTTCACAAGACTTCGTCTCTTGGTTAATAGCCTTACTCCGGATTTTAGAAATATTGTTATAATTTAAAGCATATTAATTCAATTTACAACAAAGTGATGTCTGTGCTATTTACATTCAGTCGCTTTCTCACGCTCTCACCATCAAATCTCTTTGGTTGAAACCTGTTTTATCGTTAGCTGAATACATGCATCCACTGCCGCCCAAAACTTATCTAATTAACGTATAACAACAGGTCCTTCCAACAACTTAATCAAGAAGTGTGAAACAAACCAGAATCACGCACCTCCAAGAAAGGAACGACATTCAAAAGGTAAATCGAGTTGGAAGGGATCGGTTACAAAACTGACAAGAAATCTGAATGTGTTTTAGAACGAAATAACATCAGATTCTCTAGAAAATGTTTCAACTTACAGAGTTTTGCTCTAGTGTCAATTGTCCGTGGTTCTCAGACTCCCTCTCAGCCATGACGCCGCCACACAAACTACTTTGCCACAGATTCTACTCCCTTCTTATTTATTCAGCAAGAATCAGTCATTCAACTCTGTGACAATCGCGATTGTGCGACTTTATTTGTGAAGAGAAGTAAATTTGAATCGATAACAACGATTGTAAACAAAGAAAATCATGTGCAGGTCAATTCTGTCACCGTCAACAAATGTTATCACTACTCGTATCTTAGAAGTATTCATGCAGCGAGTGTTTGCTTTAAGGGAATTGGGTTGCTTTGTTTCTGCTTTCAGATGTCCAGCTAGCACTTTCATTGGTCGAAATTAATCGACAGGCAAGTTGGCAATACGTATTATGGAGCAGATCGACTACACGTATCGAAGTTTTTGACATTCAACGATTAGTTACGGAATTATCGAAATATATCATTTTTATGAATTTAGAATTACACTCGATCGGATTTTTTAAATTAAAATGGAGATAATAGCTCTAACGCAAGAGAAATAATCTAATGAGAGAGCAAGTCTTGTGAAACTATTGCTCTATTTATTATTGCTATCAGATAGAACAATCTGTGTTATTTCTACCCATCCGTCTCATTAATTAATTCCAAGTATTGTCTCTATAAATGCAACATCGGAAAAAATTTACATTTCACTTTTATTTGGAGGCTACCCGGGACCTTCGCAATTCTCGGGAGGAAGCCCCCTTGTCACTTAACCCGAGGGATAAGGATTGTCTCGAAAAGTCACTCTCTCTCTCTTTTTTTCCCGTATTGCTTGTAGATGTCATCCATTTACTGGAGAGGGTAGAACGGACCTTTTGCAAGATCTTCGGCCATTCCTTGCAGCAATCAATGATTTGTTCTGTGTTAAAAATGTATTTGTTGTGGGACATGTGACTGCTAAGTGGTGTCGTAATAAGATTTATGCTACGCAATATCTGTAATTACAGAATCTGAGTGACACCTTTTCAACGCCTTTGTTGAATCCTTTCTGCATTGCATTTGATAACACTCAACCTAAATTAATCTAACAGCGAATAACTGTGTCGCATTTTTTTTTCTAATACAAAGTGCGACAGCGAACGACGGAAACGAAGTGTTTCACCCGTTATGTCTTACAAACAGCAGTCTCCTTTAGTTACGTTACATAACTTCCATGCTCTTGAACCCAACCACCGTTTAAATCGTTTTCCCCTGAAAGATGTACAGCTCGTGACACACCCCGTCATGACCTCCATTAGCTTCCTGGCGCAACAACAACTGAACTCCACGTGCTTATTTTCGGACTGAGAGAAAAAAAGATGGCGCTACGCCCTGAGGAACGAAGGTCGATTGTATTACTTGCCGAATGTTGTGGTATCGCCATGTTATTTATTACGTACAAACACCGACTTGGACTGGCTATTTTGCTCATATATTTGTAATTTTACTCGGTGTCTCCATTTTAACATGCATGAGAAACTATTGCGTCCTCCTGTCTCATAATCAATAATCAATAATCACGGTGACTTCTCTTGCCGAACGCTGTATTCTGTAACCTCAGCACGAAATTATTTCTACTGCCAGTTTATGAACGAACGTAATTGTTAATGATGAAACAAAGGACTCGCCTTCATCGTTTATTCCCTTTTTCTGGAAAGTGGGGTAGACCAACACAGCTTAAGAATTCAACACGCAGTTTTTGGAAATGAATTTCAAAGCTTCTTTGTAATTCTGAAAATGAAATTTATCTTGTGCGTCACAAACACGAAAAAATGTCCTACATTCACTTCGAAAACTACGGCAGATATTCGTCACCAGTCAACCCTAGAATCCTAGAATTATACAAAAGAAAGAAACCTGTTCCCTCGGGATAAAAATTAATCTTATTAGCCTACTTTTAAAACTTTCGCAAACTCTTGTGTCTATCCACACACAACGCTTAAACAGCAATGACATTTCACTGCATTTCAAACCTAACGGCTTCATTCAGATTTTTCAAAGTATAAAAGTTAATATTAATCCATTTATAGACGGTTTCGTCAATATGTAGCAAAATTCTTTCACCAATTTGGCAAATATGCGGGTCACAGCAGCTCGGCTGTGTCGTCAGAGTGGTAACGGACACTGTTTTAACGACCACGTTCACACGAGACATTTGCTCAGTCGCCTCTTAGCATCTGTCGAAAACTCATTAAAATGGTACCAAATAACACCGGAGTGTTCTTTTCTCAAATTAAAGCCCATCGCCTCTGTGAAAATACGGCTAGTGAACAGGACTGTTACAAAATGTTTTGGTAGAAGTGATATGAAAATTTAACGAACTCTTCAAAATTCCAAGGTACTTTATGAGCCTTCGACAAATTGTTAATGCAAAAGTACATCTTGAATCCGATAATTACGCTCTTTGGAGAACTTTGGCGCCATCGAATGTCCCGTGAATGACATACAGGGAATAATAAAAATAGACCCTAGACAGAAAACGTACTGCTTGAACCCCCTTGTAGGCATGAGGACCACTTACCCCCCTGTTTCCCATTTCTGGTGTAATGGCGGCTGTCGACATTTTGTGGCGTATCTGTTGTCCTGCAAAGTTAAAGCGAACCAAATGCTATCTGTTGTGAGTGAAATTCGAACCAAGGACCAAGATCACAACTGACATAACCGATAAATCTCTAACTGCAACACAGAACACTGCAACTGTCAGGCAGAGCACAGATACATCGACCTCCACCACTCGTTGTCGACTGCCTACTGTTTTGATTTCCCTATTCTCTATGGTAACAGGCCAGTAACATGACGTACATGATTCCTGCAAGCAACAGTGGAACAAACAGCAGCCCGCGATATTTTTAACGTGTTCTATGTTGGTTTCGCCAACGTTTCTGTCAGTAGCCGTACATAACCTCAATAGGAAGAACTGAATTACAGGAAATGAATGACTTCTGGGTACAGTATAGCTCGATGCTTTGAGGGGCAGTCCAGATATTCTTTCTTAACAAATTTTAGAGACAATTATTTATTAATTCTAAATCTTTGCTACGCGATGCGAGGGTTAAGCTGGTGTGAAAACTGATGAAATGTGTAACAAGAAACTGTCAAGGCAAGCACGTGCCATTCTGAATACTACTTTCTACTTCAGTCCGACTGAACGCAAAGACCTTATCTCCTGTCCATTCCCGAAATGAACTAAAAACTTAGACAATCTTCGTGCAAATTAACTTACACGAACATTGTCTACGTTTTTTGTCATGTGCAGACGTGATTTACTACTGAAGAAATCTACGAGAATTTAAGTGAAATTAAACAATACGTCTTGCGACAACGTTTATTTATATTCATATAAGTGCGTAATACAAGTAATGTACATATATCAGTCGAAGTAGTGACTACACAAAATCATCGTTTATAGATTAACCGATTTACAATTCGCCTCGGCGTTCATAATTTATTTATTCAGTAACCTTACAAGTTCCTGTTTACATGAAGGGCTTACCTGTGACGACTTTGTGATAAGAATATCACCTTTACTGCAATTAAACTAATACCCTTGTTTCGGTAACGTTATGACATCTTCTTTTACAATTTCATACCTGTCAAAAGATCGATTACAATGTAAATAATAAAATGACATCTAAGTGCGCTTTTGTCGTGTTTTAGATTACTGAGGATTCTAAATGTTTCACACAAACATAACTGATCGGAGCAGTTTCCTTCTTCAGAAGCAGACAGTTAACTCAACTCTTTGAGGACACCCCCTGCCCCCTGCTTTCATGAAATCCAGAGCTTTATTTTTATGTTCAAAAAAACCCCATCGTATTACCCTACAATGGTTAGTTTAATTTAGTTCATAATCTCAGATTATTTTCCTATGATCTAATGGACTCTTATCGATGCATAGATCTGCCAAATGCTCTCATTCCTATGGATTTTCAGGCTAAATATTGTATCGATACTGGTATTTCTAATTTATTCATGTCCTAACGACTTCCAAATCGTCAAGGAAGTGGTCAACTGTTACAGGCGGACGACAATGAGTAATCCTCCTGTTTAGGTATTGGTGTATAAAACTTCGTCAGTGTACAAATGACAGTCTTCAGAAATGCCACAATGTGTCCTTTCCGTTATTGCGACGTAATCACTAATTGCACAGTGGTTTCTCAACAGAAGATGAAAAATACACACCAGTAAGAGTTTATGTATTTATTTAGTGTTCTGTCTGACGACAGGTCCATATGAATAGGATCCTTCCATCCTTTTCTCGGACTGGGACCTGTTCATATACGTTCTTGGCAGATGATCCAGAAGTGGTTTGCCATTGCCTTCTTCTGTGTGTGAATGGAGTAATTGTTGGGATGCCACGGAGGAAAACTCCGTGTTGCCTATACCACGGCCTTGCCCAACACAGATAAGAAAAAAGAAATGTGGCTTCTAAATTACAAAATTATGTGTTATGAACAACCGGTGTAAGTAAATTTAAACAAATTGAAATGTAACCTAACTGCTTCAAGAGTTTATGAACTGTCACAAACAAAACCTAGTTGTTTCAAGCCGCTCTGTTTTAATGCATCAGCGTATCCCTGCAAGCGATCTCACGACCCGATTGACGGCTAGCCTGTTCCGAACCTGCGCCACTTCTATCTTCAGGGTAAATGCGCCATACTGTTGAGATAAATTCCGACTCGCATAGCCAAAGTTTTGCTATTCAGAAAACTAGATAACAGTTCCGCCACTGCCTCTTCGTTTACAGAGTATTTGGGGAAATCAGATGGGACATCCTGATCCACATATATTATTAAGGTAAATCCGGGAGAGATGCCGCGGCGGTAAAGACGCCGCATTTTTTAGTTCGGTGGGTTCCGGTAATCCTTGGCCGATATCAGTACATGTCCTTCTTCAGTGAGCCAAGAGAAATGTTGTGAGTGGACGCATTGAAAATCGGCGCTGTTTTGCAAGAGTTATAACTGATTTTATGCGGTGAGTTTGTTAATTTTATGCTCAAAGTTATTTCTGCTGTTCATAAAATGTGTCTTTATTAGTCCAAGTCGAAGTAACTATGAAATCACGATACATTAGAAGTTTCCAGTGTTGCTGGTCTTGACTTCGTACGACGTGGCCGCCATGTTGGTCATTTGGTAAGGCAAGTGGGAGGGCGCGGCGTCTCTCCCTGAAGACAAGGAGAGAGGCCGCACTTAAAAAAATACCACATCTGATTTAAAAAATCACACACATACATTATAGAGTACTCAAAATTGCCTGTTCTATTGTATTAACTTTTCTTGTTGAGGAATATTAGTCCAGTATTGAAAATACCGAGAAAAAACTCAACTGCAAGGAGACAACTGGCTTCTGTCCTCCCTGAAGCAGCCAACATAGAGGAAATGCGAAAGAAGCAAAGAGGAAATGAAGTCAAAGAGCAGAGGAAAAAGGCAAAGGTGAACAGTCCGAGTACTTCAGGTGTACAAGGTTGAAAAACGTGAAAAAAAAGTTCTAATCAAGAGACCCCTGAAAACTGTAACACCAACAAGTGCTGTGAGTACTGGGAAAACTGTTGCATGAGTTCTGCTCTCCGTACAAATTTCACTGACTAACGCTTAGACTCTAAATTCACTGGTTTAAGCTTTGACTCCAAGCAACCACTGGAAAATTTTGCTTTCAATGTACTTGATAATTGAACATTCATTTGATATTCAATAACTTTTCAATTTTTATTGGTATTCACATATTTTCTCCATGTTAATGTTCACATTAATTCATTACTTTGAATGAAGTTCATCAGTTTTCATTTACATATGTTTCTCTTTGAATTCAAGGATGTTTTCAAGGAGCGGCATCTCCCGGCATGTCCGGGATAGATGCCGCAAAGACAACTTTTCTTATCGCCCTATATCTCTGAGAATTCATTTGCTTTAGATATTTTGTTTACGGATTAGTATAATAGAGATCTTAAATATAATTTCTCTGAATTTTCAGCCGTTTTGACCATTTTCGGATTGAGTTAGAACAAATGTTGCAAAAAGTGCGGCATCTCTCCCGGAATTACCTTATTGTCCCGCACGTTCCCACAGTTCATGATCATGTTTCATCTTCACACTTGAAACAACATTAAAAGCTTCGCAATGCCTGGGACACGCCATCGCTTTGTCACGAAAGGCCACACCTCAATAGTTACTTCTGATTCACCTCAGCATTTGTTACATTCTAACATTGTTCCTCCGCAGTTTTACCCGCCTCTCCCTTTCACCGTCATCCTTTAGCGAGCTTGGTGTTGAGTCACATGACCTTGCCACGTCCAGTTTGCAGTTTCATTGCCCGGATGCAGCTGACATTTGTGAGTTGAAGATCAGGATTGAGCGTCTGTACTTAGCAGACGAGTCATTTCAAGGTCACAAAGAATCTTTCCCATTGCCCGGATGCAGCTGACATTTGTGCGTTGAAGATCAGGATTGAGCCCCTTTACTTAGCAGACGAGTCATTTCAAGGCCACAAAGAATCTTTCATCTTGTTATAGAACCAAAGGCCTCTTCATAGTCGCTGGTTGTATTTCTAAAGATAATTAAAACTAATTCGCATCCCTGTAACCATTTCAATGTTGACTTGTCATTTATTTAAACCTGGAGACACTGCCGGGTTGTGGAGAATACGATAATGAAACTTTAGCCTCCATATGTGGAGAATTTGTGTTGAGAGCTGAGTAAATGTCGACTTTAAGACTTTCCATAGTTCAGACAACCGCTCGATTCTTACTGCTTAGGCCCGGGCTCGCATAGATGGTAATCAAAAGTAGCATTGGAGTATGTTTCTCTCCCGAGTTCTCCAGTTTTTGGAGTCAGAATCATTTCACCGTTCCTCTATGTTCACTCATGAACCATCCGCGGCTTGGACAGTGGTCCCTGTAACGGGTGCAGTTCCGTGTAGACAGACTACTCCCTCCGCAACAGAAAATAATTCCATGCAGGTACCAATAAAAGATTTCTTACTCTTAGTTTCTAAAAGAATAATTTTGCGGTACATGTAGTTTCTTATACATGTGCTAAATATCCCGTTATCTATTTATTTATTTATATTTAGTGTTCTGTCTGACGACAGGTCCATATGAACAGGATCCTTCCATCCTTTTCTCGGACTGGGACCTGCTCATATACGTTCTTGGCAGATGA